ATTGACCCAACCCAAAACCCTAAACCTTGAACCTTAAACATTAACGTTTACAGCAGACCTAGAGCCCCAAGACTCCTAAATGTGGACCCTGAAGCAATAAACAGGCAAAAGTCGAAACCATCCAAGATCTTCAAATCCTGAGGGTTTAGGGCTTACAGGCAGAAACCCAACCTTCCCGGATTCAGGGTTTACAGAGGCTGGGGAACCCTAAACCTTAAAGCCTTAACCTCAACCCCAAACGCCAAATCCTGACAGCTGGAACGTGTAGTGATGCGACCTGTCGTTGCTTCACCTTGCATCTGTGAGCTGCTGACCTGCGGATGTGTCAGTTGTAGGATGGTGGTATTCTCGGGGTGCAAGTATCTCAATCGGATGTGATTTGGGACGCTTACTCGCTTTAAAGAGACTTCGGGCCCAAGTTGTATACCACTTGGGTTCCTGGACGCGTGGGGTATGGCCCGCGAAGAGTTAGGTGCTTTTTGAGATAGGGTCTTTTTGAGAGTTCCTGCACTAGGGGTCTCATTTTTTTTCAGGTCATAATTTTAAAGGGTCGGCTTGTTCCAAAGGCTTTGAACTGAAGCAGTTGGATAATGCCAGGTTTTCTTCGATTTGGCTTCACATTCACGGTCTAGTGGGAGGCTTGAAAGTTCCTCTTTTTGCAATCCCGTGTCTGTCAGGGCACTGCAAACTGCAGATTCTGACACACTCTGCTTCAGCGAGTTCAACCTGAACCCCCAAAGTATGCAGAAATAATGGCCCTCCAAAAGCCATTGTTATGTTTGGGCCTTTGGGGTTCAGGAAGCTAGCCCGCACCTGGTGTTGGGTGTCCGGGTTCTCATGGGGCTTGGGTCCCAGTGGTGCTTACGCGCCTGCTTCGCCTCGGCTACGCTGAGGCCTGTGCGCGGGCCAGGGGTGTCGAGTAAGAGGGATGGGCGGTCATCCTATATGAGCTGTAGTCTAAACTCCTTAAAGGGGGGTTATATAGGAATTTTATAGGGTAGTATTATAGGGGATATTAAGGGGGATACTAGGAGTTTAGACTATAGTACATATAACCCCAATATACTATAGTAGTTTCCATTTTCTTTTCCATTATCCCAATATAAACCCCATATGAGGCTAAGATTTTCAGGCTCCACAGTGAGAGAACGCGATTAGCCCGAGCGATGTTGGGTTCGCATGCCTGGGGGTTGAAAGTAAATGGGGGTTTCCCAAAATTAGGGGTACCCTTTTTGGGGGTCCCCATAATAAGGACTATAGTATTTTGGGGTCTATATTGGGGTCCCCTTATTTTGGGAAACTACCAATTGCTTCCGCAGATTTGGCCAGCAATTGCTGCCCCCCCCAAAGCTGTATCTCATGGCCTCCAAAACCTCAGGCCTGCTTTTGCACGACCCCTGTCCGTCTTAAAGCCCCACCAGCACTAAAAGGTAGACCTTAACTAAGCATCAAGGTCCAGCAAACGCGACCCGTGATTCGTGGAAACCCGCACATGAATAGCTTTTGGCAATAGGGGCCCGCTACTATTTAGATTGGACCCAAAGATGTAATGCCATAGTCTGACAGAGTAAACGAATACCCCAGACCTTGGACCCAAAAGGGACCCACATTGACGCACCTGTATGTGTGTGGGGGTTGGCCCCCTGAGGCTTAATTATTCACGAAACTTTGGGGGCCATCACCATGAGCAGGGGTCGATCCTTGTGTTGTAGCTGGACGCTAGCATGCACAATCCTAGTCGTAGCATAAGAAGTCATAAGGAATATTTGTAGTCCGTTCGACTGTCTCTCGCGATGTCAAAAGCTTATCATTTGCAAGTAAGCCGGACAAGTCCGACAACAACAAGTGCATGAAGCAATAATAGAAATAATAGAAGTGATGGGAATATTAGTAGTCATAGCAATAATTAAGCTGGCCCGCTGTTAAAGATATTTATCTAATCCTCGTGTGTTTGCATGTGAACACAGAAGAGCTAATCCTCGTATGTTGGCATCTGATCACGACAGATCAGTAATGCCAACTAGTTACATATAACTCTCATGTGTTTGCATCTGAGCATGAAAGGTCATTTGCCTATCATTGCTTCCATATTATTTGGGTCCCTAATGAAATACTAAGTTGCCATGGAACAACCCTAAACCCTAAACCCTTTTTAGCTCCAGGATCATTCTCGACAATTGATTATGTATTTGGGGTCAGTGGGGTTCAAGTCTGGATTTGGTCCCCAAAAAGAGTATCAGCTATGGATTAATAATGATCCTTGTCTTATTCACATTAAGGCCAGCTATGATAAATTGGCGACTCCCGCCAGCGGTCATTGTTCACCTTTCTTTATTCAAAGTACATTGGGTATCTAAACATATTTGGGGCCAATAAAGCTTACATGTTTACCTTCTCATCATTCTTTGCAATTTGGATGGGGTGGAGCCAATTTGAATCAAACCGGTATTCAACTTCGTACATTTTCGACCACAATTTGGTGTTCTGATGCGTGTTCATATTTCAAAGCTTATACCCTATTCTTTTGAGGGTGCCTGACGAAAGGCTGGCGTTGGGTCCGAAAAATTTTCGGAAGCACCAAAAATGAGACCAATACCTATATTCTTACTAGAACGACTCTCTGTCAGCATACCTGTGAGCTCTGTCCTGCGCAGCAGTATCCGGAATACTTGCTACTGTAGATTGCATGTAGGCCCACTACAACCTGACAACCTTTAGGGCATCGCAGGGTTTTGAGCTTCCAAAACCCTAAACCCTAAACCTTAAACCCTAAACTAGGGCTATCACCTGGCCTTGGGCCAAAGCCCAAACCCCAGACGGCGAGCTTTTTGTTCGATTTCGCAATTGGTGTCCTGCCAGCTCCAGCCCCTTGAAAAGGGGAGAGCTCCTCGAATCTTACCGTTGTATTGAGATAATGGAAATGGAAAATAAAACGGAGACTACTATAATGGGCTATATTGAGATATTGGAAAAAATGGAAACTACTACAATGGTTTACCCCTAAACCCTAAATCCTTACGTTACCGCTTTTCCTTAGGCGAGGCAAAAAGGTGCGAAGCACAACATAAACTCAGGGTTTAGGGTTTAGGGTTCACGGTTTAGGGTTGTCAGAGGCGAATGTAGTTCGGGGCGAGAGTCGTGAATTCTGTATGGACTACTGAGGCCCTAAACCCTAAACCCTGACCACTGTGCGGATCCATTCTGCCACTCCCCATCCGCCAATACGCAAAACACTTTATCCGCAACATGAGCATTCCCTTGAGTATGGAACATGGTTCATCCTTTCCATATTGATGGTTCATAGAGAAGAAAGGAACACATGGTATAAGGACTGCTGACTTTACAGGATTACAAAAGGTTTGCCATGATGATGGATCCTTTCGCCAGTTCCCAACCCCTAGACGAAGAATATTGTTGTTTCAATTTTCAGGCAGTCTTCAACCCTGAGCCCGACGTACCCTAAATCCTAAACCCTAATTCCTACGTAAATCCTAAACCTATTACATGAGATTCAGTAGTAGTCTCGTCCCGTTTCGGACCTCCCGCTCTCAGTAGCAACTGGTAAGTTGCAGGATTAGATGAGCTATGCTCTAGACTCCTTGAAGGGGGATTCCATAGCGGATTAGCTGAGGGGTTTATTAAGGGGGATACTAGGAGTTTAGACTATATATCTCATTTGATTTGAGTGTCGGACTTTAGGGCTGCGGCTTAGGCATCCGACTTGGGGTTGTTGAGTTTCAGAATTTGCGGGTTCAGCGTAAGGAGACCTTGAGATATTCGGCTGGGTCTGTTGCAAGGTACAGAAATACATTCTAAGAGGGCTGAAGACTCACTGCTCTAGCACGAGGCTCAAGCCGAAAATGCATATATGGCTGCTTTCATGACTAGGCGGGACCCCAAGATGGGGCATAGGCATCAAAAAAAGATTTGATAAGGCATCGAAAAATAATTTGAGCCGCAGGCCACTGGCTTCTTGGCTTTTCGGCTTTTGGGACTGTTCTGCATGCCATACAAGCCCCTGGCTTCGTAGCTCTTGTTCTTATGTGTTTTGCTACTACTATTCTTGTCCGTATTCGTATTACGACTATTACTATTCCGCCTTCTCTCTCTTGGCCCTCAAATATTGCTTGATGCTTATCAACTTTTTTGATGCCGGGCGCAAACATTCAGATGTTTTCGTGAGTTTTTGAGTCAACTTTTTTAGATGCTTTGCTTTGCATTTTTTTTGTTGATGCGTCACCCCTGTCCAAGATAAACCCCAATGTTCTATAATCCTCATTATGGGGATCCCCAAAATAATGCCTTCAATTTCAGGTTTCCGAAGTCCCTGGGGTTGCATCTGAACCTTTTCTTCTGGAGCGTGTGAGGGTTTCCATGGAATTTTGTGGTTTTGTCCGCGTTTGAGGCCCCGAAGCAAAACCATCACACCCCAAAACCTCTAACCTACCTAGTCCTTAACTCTAAATTCCTAAGCTCTTACTTAGATCCAGTTGCAGCTGCACGCTTCCTCCTGCTCTTTTGCCAGCTTCCGATCGACATCCATCTCCTTGCTGGAGCCATTACGCACTCAAGCTACTACAGTCTTGTCAATTACATCCATCCTCGACGCGTTTTTCTCCCAGAGCCGACATGTCCATCACAGTGAAGGGTGAGCCTCGTCAGCATGAGGGTCGGTTTTGACTTGAATGTGCTGGTCTAGCATATGAAGTGAAATGAATGCAGTAGCATGCTTTGTGGCTGGGGTGTGTTTTAAAGTAGGTTGGAATGGATGGTATAGGAAGAGCCCTGTGCGATCCCTCGAAGTGCAGTGCCCCTGATTCTACGTCCACTGCCGAGGACGTTAACAAACTTGCCTTGAGATGCTCACGCTTCTCCGTTCAGAGGATTTAGGCTTACACCATAAACTGACACTCTAAACTCTCAAGCCTAAACCGTCAAGCTTAAGCCCTGAAACTAAAGCCTATAAACCCTACATTCTAAACCCTAAATCTCCCAATAAGGCATGCGCCAGCATTGCTCTTCTTGTCTTCAGCCCGGCGATGGTTCATGCAACGCGCAAGACCTCCGTGTCTCTGGAACTCCATGCTGGGAGCGAAGACTCCAAGGATTCATTGGCAGAGGGACCCTGCATAAGAGGCAGGCATTGAATTAGGGTTTATAGGGTTCAGTGTTTAGGGTAGGGAGTACAGAAGATCCCCCTTAAACGCTACCTTATCAGCTTCGCCAGTTGTGGTTTGGGGTCGGGGGTTTAGGGCAAAGATTCCCCCTAAATCCTACCTAGACCCTACGGAGCCCACTATGTTAGGATCATACGTAACATGTTACATACCATACAAAAGGACAGAATGTTGCAACAAACCCTAATCCCTTCGAGTAGCCCCTGTATAGCTCCCAGGGGTGATTCCGCTTCCCAAAGATGAGGGTGGGGGGAGCCCAGTGTCGAGTCGGCAGGCTGCAACATTCTCTTTTATTATGAATGTCAGTGTTCACGGTTGTCGTTGCTAGCTCCAGCATTTCTGGAGTATTTCTTCTTTTCCGAATGGTAATTGCTGCGCCGCGGCGCGCGAGGTGGAAGGTAAGAGTGTTGTGTTTGCATGAGTTTCCGCGACTACTATTGGTACTACTATTGTTCTGCCCCCTATTAGCACCACCCTCCCCTCACCCCCACTCCCACCCCCACCCCTGCTACACCCACCCACGCCGCCGCCATCCCCACCCACCCCACGGTCGCCGCCGCCACCACCGTCGCCACCACCACCACCAGCACCGCCACCACCACCACCGCCACCACCGCCACCACCGCCACCGCCGCCACCGCCACACCACACACCACCGCCACCGCCACCGCCA